ATGCTTATGAGCCTGTATTTGTGATATTTGTCACAAAACATACAGTATACACGTATGCGACATATATGACTCACCTCCACTAATAAACTCATTGTAGATAGGAACTCCATTGTAATCCCCGCAAAGACCACATGTCTGGTTACCAAACTTGCTGTCCAGCTCCACCTAGATAATGGAAAAAAAAAAAAAAACAACAAAAAAAGAATTAGGTGGAGCATGAAGACCTTCCAAAATGAGTATGTTTAATTGAAAGGGAAGTTCCTAAATGATAGAACAGACTGCAAATCCAAAACACTCCCAGAAGTTGTTTCTTCACTGCAAATTAGTTTGTAACAGTTAAGAAACAAACAATCGGATCCAAAAATAGTTAAAAAAAAAAAAAGAAAAAAAAAAAGATGGGTCAAAATGTCCTTTATTTTAATAAAGGCTATAAACACCATGCTGATAAAGATGAAAAGGAAAACATTCTGTAAATTTCTGTACTTTTTTTCCTCCTTTTTCTTAACTGCTGGGATAAAATTTAAGCCATGCTGAAAATTAGGCAAGCAGATAATGGCAGTCTTCTAAAAGACACATGAAGGAAAATGAAGATCAGATTGTGAGGGTGTTACAGCAAAAGCATTAGCTATTTTGCAGAAATCTGCTTCTCCCTTTCTTTAGAGTAGTAAGATCATCTGCACTCTACATTACTAACTCTGTCACATTGCAGAGACAGGAATTTTACCTTTTAAAAATTACATACTGTAAGTACCAGCTGGATGAGTAAGTCTAACAGTCTAGCTCAGTAAAGTCCATGAACTTCTACTTCTATTCAGCCTACAGTGGTCTGTGAAACCCAGGCAATGCTAATTAAAAATAAATTGATTTTACATACCATCAGTGCATCTTCCTGATTCCATATGAGGATTAGACCTACTTTGGCATAAACCTTCATATAAACGCCATTGTTCTCAATGAGCAAAGAAGAGCTGTAGTAAGGTGTCTTGACACTAGAAAGAAAATCAGACTTTGCATTAGTAATGAAAAACCCCATTTAATACTAGACCAGGCTAGACCCTTACCAAAGGCGTAATAGCCTAAATCAAAGTTTTCTATATTAAAGACTCTGGTAATCATACCAGAGAGAATGGATGTTCCTTTAAAAAGATCTTTCTCTTCAAGAGAGAATTCAAAAAGCACATGCTAACAAAAGTGGTAGAAAAATGGGAACAGAAGGGAGCAGGTTAAGAGGAATTCATTCATTTGTTTCAGTAGTTAGCCCAGTCGTTTTCAGTTGGCAGGACCAAGCTTACTATCAGTGACAGGAAGGCAGTAACATGACAAGATATTTTGCAGAAGGCTGAGTATAGATGCTTTTGTTTGATAAGGAATCAATTCATGAGACATCTCTCCTATACTTCTATATCTGTTTTACAGTCTCTATGTCACAAGTCACACCACTGAAATTCATTCAGCAATAAAGGCAATGTGGCAAGCAGCCTTAACCTATAAAATCTAAAGGGCTGCTGTCTGTTCAAACAAAAATAGTGTACAATGGAATCCAGACAAAATAACCAGTACATTTTCTACCCATTTGCCAGTACAATTATTGTCTACCAGGATTCATATATCTGTGCACATCTGGATGTAACCACTATTGTGACTGGGAGAATTTAACTCCTTATTACCTATAACTGGGATATTTCCAACTATTTATCTTTTCACATGGTATTTTTCACATGGCCAAATGATTTAGGCATATAATACTAGGCAGGAACTCAGGCTATTATTTCTACTGTTGGCTGCACTGTCCATCCTTAACAATGAGGCATTAATAGATTGTGCTTTTAGAGAGGGATTATAAAACTTGGGCAACTTTTCACCTCAGATATTGTAGAGTGAGATATCTCTCTTTATTCTAATACTTGGACATTCCAGAGCATCAGGTACCAAAAGCCAAATTCATATATTTATCTGCTTTACAGATTTCACTTCAGTGGTGTGAAATACTATGTTTTATATAGCAATGGATCATACACCGTTTAAACAGTATTTTGGAAATTAAGTTCTACAAAAATTAAATCCTGCATGTAGCGAAAACCTGTTCTACAAGCCTCTGTTCACAAAGGATCTATTGTTTTATGAACAATAAGATAAAAAGAGGTGATGAGACGATTCAAGAAAGGATTTCTAAACATTTTTCATGGAGCTCTTTTTACGATCCAAGTACATGGTGAGGGGCTTCTTTAATTTGGGACAAGAATGCATTCTGTATAATTTCATGTCATTTTGTTATTGTTTTGGTATGATCCCTGGAAAACTGATTGTTATTGTCTAATTTTGAGCAGTTTTTCACTGCAGTGTATTTCACACTTCAGATCAAAAGCTAACATCAAGACAAAATCCGATCCTACATTGAAAATAGAGTATTTCCTTTTAACTACTCTAAGATATACTAACATCCATTTTCTTTCACTTTCATCCTGCAGAATTATGTCTTAACCTATGAGTTGCTTCAATTCTTTGTCTACATGTATAAATACAGTCTGAAAGGTTAGGTTAAGACATAAGTTGACATGAATAATGATGTCAGGCTGATTCCTTGTGTGACCATATTACTGGAAAAGTTTTTTCATGATACGCATTGCCACATACAAATCCCTTTTCTGATCTACACTCTACCTGCCATAATTGCAAGAGGAATGCTTACTGGACTTTATGGAAATTCTTATGAATATCAGAAAAAAATACATGTCTACTTCCAGGAAGAGAAGACTGCATAGAAACACAGTTTTATTTCTGAGGATTTGCTAGACAGACCATCTGCTAACATAAACACAAGGTGATACCAAAAAACTAATGAAGCTACATCATTTCACAACAGTGAAAGATCTGGCTTACGAGCTGCATTTTTTTTCCTGCACAATTAGAAAGAGAAGATTCACTAAAGGTTTTTCCTGTCTTGCATCTAAATCATCCCTTATGCCCACGTAGAAATGACTATTAACAGTAAAGCCCTTTCCTAAAGCTGTTTTTATGCTGGATTTCTAATGTTCTTTTAATTCTTTTATTAGTAGAAACGCTTTTAGCCACTATCCTATATGGTATGCAGACAGATGTGTAAAGAATCAATCCTGTTTTTGTCTTCCCAGCACCTTTACACTAAATGTACTTACATCCGCCCATCCACAACAGCCAGATCAGGCTTGAGGTACACCGTGAAATCCGTGACTGTTACCAGGATATACTGGATCTCAGGGTGGTTATTGCTGTTCAGAGCACGCTGAATGTGGACAGAGAACTCCCTGTAAGAGTCTTGGCAGTCAGAAACAAAGTTATACTCGCAAGTGCCAGGAAATTGATAGATATCTCCATCAAATGTTTTGAAATGGTTGTTCCCCCAGGTGCTGCAGACATAGTGGCCATGGTTTCTTGTCCTTCCTGTTAAGTTATGAAAAAGAAAGTCAGGAAAGTGAAATAAATGAGCTAGAGTCAAGAAGAGTTAAGTGTTGCAGTATGCAAGAGAAGCCACTTGCAATTACACCCATGGTGACTCCACAGATCTGAAGTCTAACTGAGTATCTGCATACTAACAGAAAAAATGTGAGTATCTAAAGGAAAACAAGATGTCAACAAACACTGGTGGGACTTGAGTATACCATGTAGTCCTCACTTGAGAAGGAAATTGCCTGCATGAGATTGGTAAATTTACTGTCTGGCCACTAACAAGTTCGTGCATTGGCTTGCTTTGCCAACAAGTGAATTTATTATGAATCACAGTAATAGTTTAGCATTGTTAAATATTCCTGAGAGTTCTTTTCTCCTCTGATGCAACATGCACTTGAAAGGAAACAGCACTGTGAGTCCAAAAAAGTTCCACAACTCTTCTGGAGGGCAAAAGGATTTCTACTACCACATGCCTTTGTAGGAGATAGGGTAGAGAATAATTGTGTAGTAGAGAACAAAAAATAGCAGATGATTAAGCTGATGCTCTGAAATTCATTCCCTCCTCAGCCATGGTAAATATCAAGATGCTGCATGTTAGGGCTGAGAATAAAAGCAGAGCATACTTGGGAAGCTTGCCAAGGTAACAAGCACACTTACTACTCATCTTCACTGGGCTTTCTTGCAATGTTTAATTTGAGAAAGCAGAACTATCATAAGAATGTCAAAGTTATTGCACTTAGATGGTTAGCAATAACAGATGCATCCAGCCTCTCTGGCACTACCAAAGCTTATCAATGCTTCTCTCTACAAAATGAAGGCTACAGAGAGATTCTCCCAGAGGTCACAACTAGGATCAATGCAACCCAATTCTTTCTATCATTAAATTCAAGACACAGCAAACAAAGATCAATATCCCAAGCCCAACCAGTGCACAAAATTCATAACCTATTTCTATAAAAATAGTTCCTAGTTTGAGAGTTCCATTTCAACACTACTAAGTTGATAACATACAGAACAAATTAGAGCTTACAGGAAAGGATTATTCATGTCCTGAATGACAAAATGAGCTTTATCTAATGTTAATCCATTGACTTCAGAAGAAAGCATTTATGTTGTTCCAAAATAACGAAGTAATGCACAATCACCTGCTTTCCTCACTGCTGTAACAATTAACCAACCAAATTCTATAATTTCCTACTGTGCAGTGGTTGCAATACCTAGGAAGCTCTCAACATACAGAAAGAAGTAATAATGAAAGTATTTTTCAGGTACTTCAAACTAAAGATTAGTGCTTTAGAAGCCAATCACTCCAAAGAGAGTAGTATCTACCTGTGTTGGCTAAGCCGTGCAGCCTTGGTATTTGAAAGTTAAAGAAAATCAAGAGATCTTAAAACTCCATTGTAATATTTAAACGTATTTCCTCCTTCTACTCTGCAGTGATATTTCAATTCCCCCCTCTCCCATTTCCAGGAGGTGATCCACCACCATACCGTTTCTAGAGCTTACCTTTTCTTATTTCACTTGTATTGGAAAGAGCCAGCCAGAGCACAAGAAGGCCGGCAGCTCTTAGCCCCATGGCGGCTAAGGTGGGTGAACTGCGAATACCACTGAAAGCATTTCTTTATATAATATCCACTGATGCAATTGATTCCATCACAGGGGAGGAGATACAAAGGGAGGAGGAAAGAGGAGGGGTAAAAAAAGTAGGTGTGCTATTTACAGAAGATAAGAAGTAAACAGATAGGTATTTTTCAGAACAAATGAAAAAATTTAATATAGAGGAAATGGTATAATATTGATTCAATGATCATGCAAGGTTTTATTGCTTTATTTCTTTCTCCTGCAGGATGCTACGTTTTCAAATCCTTCTAACGCTTATGCCAAGCTTAACCTTCATCAACTCCTATGACAAACTGAATTCTGGAGCGACTGAAAAAGGAAATCCCTTGAATGAAGTTTAGAATGAGATACGCTACAGCATGGCTTCAAAGGCAGAAGACATTTATCTTTCACCATCATACTGAAAAATTTCTGTAAGTATTAAATGACCTTTGTAAAGCTCCATGTAGACAACAAGTCTACATACAGTAATTGCTGTAAATAAGTTACGAGGTGGTGCATTATAAAATTATTTTGCAGACAATTGTTGAATCCATTTATAAAGATCTAGGGAGTTCTTAATACAATATAAAGCCCATATTATGTCCAAAATGTAATCGTGCTGAGGTGTCAAGAAAAGCTCAAGGAATTCACATTACACGAGATGTTCTATGAAACACTGCTGTGATGCATCAGAAAAAAACATCAGCAAGTGTTATAGAAGTTCTCACAATATGCTAAGCTATAGGAAAACCAAACACTCTGCATTTCACTCACTGTAAAAAAGGGAAAAATTGGAAAACATTGCTGTTCATGCCAAATAAGAATTCAGGTTTATTTTCAGACAATTCATTCTTGCTTACCTTCTACATGAATGATAAATTTCCAGCCTATCGTGGCACGTTAGATCACACAAACAGCTAGAGGCTCAGCTTTGCTTTATACAGAGAAAGACGCAGAAGAAAGCAGAAAACAAAACCAGGTACCAGTTCAGAATCCTGCTTCAGAAATGTATTTCACATGCACTGCATTTTGCTCTGAAAAATTCCTCAGAGGAGATGCTTCTGCAACTCTTTTCAGAAGGCTCCTTGAGGTACAGCATAATTATTTCAACAGATCTTTATTAATACAGTTGCTTTATAGCACTAACAGCTTACATCGTACGGCTCTCAGGCCAGGCTCTATTTTCTCACCCAAAGTTTCTCACTGCAGTGTCATGATATCTCTAATCCTCTTAATTGTTCTGAGCATTCCTTACTTGCATAGCTCAAATTACAAGTAAACAGAACTTCTATATTTTGTAAAACACAAGGAAACTTCACTTAGCTCTTTTGGTTCTGAAGTCAGCTATAAACACTCTTTTGTCATGAAGGCATAGTTTGATTTCTTTTTCTTTGCTATTTTTATCACAGCCTAGACTCACCCCTAACATCTTCCTGTTTTCTTTCAAAACATCTCAAAAGCTCTTGGGCTTTCTACTTTTCCTATTTGAGGATACAGATTTGCCCACACCTTGGGTATCTTTCACTTGACAGTCCTAACTGCATTTTAGTATTTTCCCTTCTCTCCTGTGAGAGTCTATCACTAGTAGAATATATAATTAATTTTCCTTCATGGAAAATAAAAATAAATACAGTCACAGCCATTTAGAATTCAGAGAAAAAAGAAGTAACACCTCCTGTAGAGACCTCTCCTTGATGGTTACTTTATCAGGTCTTAATTCTCATGACACATCAGAGGCATCCCAGCTAGGAATTTTCTTTCTTTTACACCACCAAAAGTGTCTGTTCAGAAATGTTTTGTAAAAATTCTTATGAGGTATCTAAAGTTTTATTCTGTTTTTCTTTTCCTTGCTATGTTTTTTTTCCAGATACCGTCCTGTCCAGAATTACTACTGTCTCCAAAAAATTGGTCTCTATGACTAAATTCATATACAGTCTTCAGAAATTTTAACAGCAGTTGTTGCACAGATTCAGCAGATCTGACCCTTTTTCTATTCAATTGGATATGCTCCTAAGTACAAACTGAAAACTTCGCATTTCCTTTTCAGGTTTCTTTACCAAAAACCTTCCTCATTTGAAACAAACCTCATTCATTTCCTAGGACTGTGAAAGGTAATCATCTTTACCCTAAAGACGTACCACCCCTCTATTCAATATGGTGGTGTTTTACTCCTAAGCACAATTCAAAATGCCCTTTTTTAGTGGCTGTTATGGATAATTTTAACCCCTTGAAGAGCTACCCTTAGCCAACCAGTACTGGGTATTAGTGCCTGGTTTTCTCTGTCCCAGCTCCATCCTGAGCATGATCCTATCTTGGGCTATACAGATAGAACAGCAACACTTCCCTTCTGAAGTCTTTTCAGCATGAATAAATTCTCACTGACACTCCTTCTGATACATAGGAAGCGTAGCTCACTATGACACCCCAACTTGGAGAATAAGAGAATTAAGCATGTTTTTGAGCATTCAGCCCATTCTTACAGAAACTTACTCAGGTCAGCATAGCTATGATTATCTGGAAGTGAGCATAGCTACTTATCGTTACTATTCATAAGTATTCATACTCTCACTAGCATTGGAAAGCATCCTGAACTGTAACTTTTGTTTCCTTATTGACAGAAAGGCAATGCTCCTGCCTAACAGCTGCTTTATATGCCTGTCAGAAACAATCAGTAGTTGAGGTACACAATCATAGCTTGCTTTGTGTCATGCTCAACCTTACAGCTTGTGGCTCTACGTATTTTAATCCACAATGATCTTACAGTTAATAGATACACATCCATATTTCATTGCCTGACAATCTAAAATAATCAAACCGGCTTGGAACAAAGATAACTCTGCAATATTGTTGGCATCTTTGCATAAAGCTTGTGGGGATTCCCTGCTGCTAAACCAAAAACAAAAGTCAAAGTTTGTTAAAAACACTGAATACTGCACAGCAATTGTGTCTGTTACATCAGTGGATGCAGAAGGACAGATGAAAAAAAAACCTGTCTTTTGAGTAATGGTTGCATGAATGCATCAAGAATCACTTAAACTTTTGTGACAGCATTTCTAACCATTCCATTAGCTGACTTAATGCTTATATTAATTAGAGCTGAAATTTATTTGCAGTATACTTTTTGTTAAGAAGAGCACCCAGAAGACTGTGGTTCATTTTGATTCACTGCAGAAGACAATTACCTATATGGAAACTTTAAGGTACTTTATGTGAAAAAATTAAGCAAAGACCTAGTTAGGCTTACTGTTCTAGAAAGAACAAATTTCTTTTCATGAATTTTATGTCTTCTTGTATCTGTTAACCCACCAAGAAGTCTTATTTCAGTCTTGTCACCACAATGCCAGAATGACCACTGTACAAATCCCTTAGAAATCAAAGGATCAGAGGTTGGCAGGGTTGGTCCATCTGGTCCAACTCCTGCTCAGTCACAGACACCCGGAGAAGGATGTCCAGGACTACATCCAGATGGCTTGATGTTCTCCAAGGAGGACACTGCATAGCCTCTGGGCATCCTGTGACAGCACCCCAGTACCTGCACAGCACAGAAGTGCTTCCTGATGGTCAGAGGAGTGCCAGTTTGTGCCCACTGCCTCTTGTTCTGTAATGGCATCACTGAGCAGAGCCTGACTCCATTCTCTTTGCATCCTTCTTTCAGGTATTTATGGACATTAGTGAGACCCCGCTGAACCTCCTCCTAACTAAACACCCCCAGCTTTCTCAACCTCTCTTCACAGGAGAAGCGCTCACTGTCTTGGCGGCCCTGCACTGAATTCTGTCCAGTATGTCCACATATGTCTTGTAATGGGGGAACAGAACAAGGCACAACACCTCAGATGTCAAAGAGAAGGGAATGGATCACCTGAACTTCCAGTGATACTTTGCCTGATGCAGCCCAGAATACCATCGCCCTTCTCAGCAGCCAGAGCATATTGCTGGGGTTCTATTCATTACAATTATGGTCACTAAAGTTGTTGTCTTTTCTTTCGTATTCCTGACTTGCTGCTCATCACAAGTCAAGTCAACAAGGCCGTCAAGTCAAGAAGTTTTTCATCAGTAATGTTACTCTGCAGAGAGAGCTCCAGGATTTCATTCTGCAACCTGTCAGCATTTCACCTGATCACACAAAGCCTTCCACATGCCGCATAACATAAACTACATTCCATGTATGACAAGCTCCAAACTCCCTGGCAGCCATCCTAAAACAGCTCTGGCAAAATACAGGCAGATTATGAGTAAAGAAATGTCTACAGTACACCTTTATGGAAAGAAAACAGAGACAGGCAGCAGAATGCTGAACAGAGGTCAAAGAATCTTAAAGTGATGAAGTACTAGGGATGCATTTCATTTTTATACATTTAATACATTTTCAGATAGATTAACCTCAAATCATCAATACGAAATGAGCATGCCTTTACAAGGAGGTATAACTGATACAAAATAACTGAAATTCACAAGCTCATGTTTTATACCTTCCTAGAAAATTAAAAAGAAGTCACGAAAAAATGTGCCTGTAATCAACTTCCTGCTCTCTCAGACATTCTAATGGGTACATCACGAGCTGCTATTTTCACAAACAATTCTAGTACACAGAATGCCCACATATGCAACTAACAGTCTGATTCCTATGGTAAAAGAGTAAGAAAGATGTTACTAAAACCCACATAATTCTGATTATCTGACCTCATTCTCCTTCAGGGATATCATATCACACAATTAATAATTTTAATTTTATCCTAACATATTTGATGTCTGACTGGACTAATCTCAGCACTACCACTGATTTCTTCACTGGGAACTTGAGCAAGTCTTTGAGTTCTTGCCATTCCTTTATATTCAGGCAAATACAGTTGTATAAAGTATCTGCCAGTGCTAACTGGAGTATAATTTTTTAACACGACCTTCCTTTAATGGTTTTGCATAGAAATCACACCCACTTTCCACTTGTAAAGCTTCCTTCTTTTAGTCAGCAAATCATCCTCTACTTCAGAGACCAAGATTGCAAAACTTCTCATAATCTTCCAACTAAGTACAAATTGAGATAAACATGAGACACAATTACTGGGGATTAAGAACAGATGTTGTAAGTAATGAT